TTTGTTGAGTGCATATAGGTTTGCTAATCTCTTCTCATTTTCATTTCTTTCTCCAAAACAATGTCGTCCAATTGTATCTTCATACTCGGATGGCCAAGTCCTTTCCCAATCACCTCTTTACGATCAACTGCAGCTATTAACAAAACTAATCGTAACTGTTTGCAGTGCTATCATTTGTGGTTGCATAACATCAGATAACATTTCATGTGATCCCCTACTTCATTATTTTGAAAGATGCTCTGACTATCCTGGATTGGGGAAATTTCCTACCTGTGAGTGATTTTTGTGCTTCTTTGGACAACATCTAAGCAACTCTCTGTGTGTGGAGCATCTTCTTCTGCGTAAACAGAGTACAGTAGCAGCTCTCCCGTATCTAGCTTTTGCTGTCCAGCGTGGGTCTAATAAGCTCGGCTGATCCCGAGAGCCACCAAGTTGTACCGTCTCGTTTCCATAGCTACTTGGTTTGTTCTCTCGGTCTCCCACATTATCCAGATGTGCCATGTGTCTATAAAAAATTGTTGCTCCAGTTGTTAGAAGAGGAATCGCTCTTGTGACGCCCGAAGAATCTCGGCTTTCACCATGATGCCTCATGATTCCTGCTTCATCTTGCAGGGCAGAGATCAATTGTATATTGCGGTTAGCATTTTTTTAGTACGGTTGTTTTCTACTGGATGGGTTTAACAACTCTACTTCCAACCTCCTCATTTGTGTGAACTTGGAACCCGCAGTAGCTTTAGAAGTAATACAGGCGGAGTTTTTGTGAGTTTTTTTTGCTGTAAAAAAAGCGGGTTTTAAGAATATCCAGATTGTCCATGGAATTTCTTGCTGACATCAAAGTAGTCTTTACCCACATATTCGTTCTCTCATTTCTTTCCAAAAATAATTACCAACGGTTACCCACTAACAGCGTCGTTTTATTACAGTACCAAATATTTTTGAACTTGTGTTATTGCTTGACTGTCAATTTGAAATATTCCATATATACTTTTAGAGGATGCACAGTCAAACGCCAAGTTGAGAGGGAAACTAAGTAACTCAAACCAACTTGAAGTCATTTTGCAACAGGGATCTAGATCTATCTTGGAGGATTATTCATCGAGGATTTGGCGAATGAAATGATTTTTACTTACTCGTATTCTGTATTATTTTTGTTACTAATTTGACAATGCATACGTAGTCGTTCATTCTTGTTCTGTGTTCATAAACACGCCTGTTAAACTATCAGCGTATTTCACGTCTCCTTTATTTTTATTCCCATATTCTCAATTCAATATTCTTCTCAATTACACATAACTTGATTTATTACAATTATTCTATTATTATTACTCTCTTTTTCAAATATGGGAAATAAAATGCTGAAATTATTTAAACTTGCTAATTATTGCGTTTTTGACGAACCACGAAATGGTTTCTTCAAAACACTTATATATGAATAAGGTGTTTGTTAATAAATATAATTCTAAAGACCTTCCATCAAACGGGATTTGTTCGCTGCTTACTGAGTTGTATTTGGGGCTATGGCTTTTTCGTCGCAAGTCTTGAGGCTCACTACACTCGATATCTTCATTATAGCAGAATCAATTTATTTAACCAGTCCAAGTTACCCAATCGTCACCAAGTCGTTTTTTGTATTTTGCAAATTTTCTTAAATATCGAGGTCAATTCAATAATACATCTAAGAACATGATCTGGTACTGCGAGTAGTATGCCGCCTCCGTAGTTTTCGCGCGCTAAGGGACTATCCACAATAATTCATTGTTTGTTTCTCTACTTGTTGCTGCCCGTTGGTTCCTGGTAAGCTAAAGCCATTATTTACAATTGATTGATCACTGGGTGGTGATCAATGTCTTGCTTGTCTAGTCCTTATTAGTGCAGATCGAATGCTATCGATCATGTTGCAATGTGGCCACCAGTCTAGGTGACTCGACACTGCGGGCACTATGTATGAAGATTTAGATGGTGGTTGGAGGTAGTCAACAGGAAACCCTGGACCCGGGTTTCGTGCTATTTGGCACTCGTCAGCAAGGTGTACCTGTAATCTTGAGGGAACTGGTGCTCCCTGGCGGATTCGATCTCGTGTCACCCAGCTTCACAGTCAGAGACGTTACCACTGAGCTATCCGAGCCGTGACTAACCTCCTGTAGGACTGAGATGTAATTACAATTGATTGATCACTGGGTGGTCGAGATCGAATCCGCCAGGGAGCACCAGTTCCCTCAAGATTACAGGTACACCTTGCTGACGAGTGCCAAATAGCACGAAACCCGGGTCCAGGGTTTCCTGTTGACTACCCCCAACCACCATCTAAATCTTCATACATAGTACCCGCAGTGTCGAGTCACCTAGACTGGTGGCCACATTGCAACATGATCGATAGCATTCGATCTGCACTAATAAGGACTAGACAAGCAAGACATTGATCACCACCCAGTGATCAATCAATTGTAATTACATCTCAGTCCTACAGGAGGTTAGTCACGGCTCGGATAGCTCAGTGGTAACGTCTCTGACTGTGAAGCTGGGTGACACGAGATCGAATCCGCCAGGGAACACCAGTTCCCTCAAGATTACAGGTACACCTTGCTGACGAGTGCCAAATAGCACGAAACCCGGGTCGAGGGTTTACTGTTGACTACCTCCAACCACCATCTAAAGCCATTATTTCTTTCATTTCTTTCGAGCTGTTCTAGTCGACACTGAAATGCTTGGAACTTATAACAAAGCTATCTTGAATTACCTGGGTCCGTTGGAAACTCCAAACAAGACTTTATTGTGTTGTTTTTTCAGCTGTCCAATATCTTAAGCTCTACCTCGGCTACCAGAAAATGATGACTCTATGCTGCTCTATTAGTTCTTATTACCTCGATGGGCCTTCCAAGTTCGTCATTCATATGGATGTGATGTATATGACTTTCTGCATTGTAGTTCAATGAAATCAGTTTTACTTAGTATGCATTTTTCGAGAGAAAACGGCATTACGTGTGACCATTTTGAAAAGATGTGGATTCACAAGTCTGTTAGCATTCGCATTCTTTTCCCCTAATCCACATAGTCACAAGGGCCCTATAATACTAGGGCATTTCTTTCACTACTTCAACGTTCAGGTTCATTATAAGGATGATTAGGTCTTTGTCCAGTAATTTCTAGACGACTCACCACAGCAAGTCATGAAACTAATCATGGTAATCCCAGCTAATACTCTCCGTGAGTTCGTAGTAACGGACAACATTCATCGTTAACTATTCTTTCTTTATAATGGAGGATACTTTAATGAACCCGGAGTGATGAATTTCCAATCTTTTGACAAAATTATCGGTCCTCTAAATAGTTTCAGTGTGATTGTTGAATGGTTCTCCTAACCTCTCACTTCATTCAGGGATGCCGGACTAGCATACCAATTATTCCCCCTGTTTTCAGAAAAATTACTGACTTTTGACTGTCGAAGAATTTCAGCTGTCGCTACGGCGTGTCAAAGTTTATTTCTGTAAAGACTAAGAGTAAAGGTTAAATGATTTAACTGTTTTCTTTTGGTTGAAGTTTTCGTCAGGATATTCCTTTTTCAAAGTGTGGTCATTAACCTTTACTACGAAGTATACCGTGATCTGACGTTGATTTTTGGCTGACCACGCCGAAATTAAGTGGAGACGTCAAATGACTTCTAAAAATTTTATTTTTCTGTTATTAGACACTAAACAGTTTATAACAGTTGTTAGAGTTGGAAAATCAAGTGGAATATTAACCGCCTAACATTCAATCCGATCAGTTTCTAAGCGTGATTTTTAGGACAAATATCTTGAAGAGGACATTTTTAGTTTCGCAAGAACATTCAAGTGAGCTCGTCATAAGCCCTAAATATACTGACTCCCTATATCTGTAATGTTTCAGCGATAAAAGGGATATGGTAAATGTCTTGTGATTTCCAATGTTTTGTCGAGAGAGTAAACCAGCGAATACAGCGCACTAACATAATGCTCATAGTGAAGATGCCTCGAGTATTTTGAGTTTGACAGCTCCTTAACCAGTAACACCTAATATGAATCGTACCCACCAAGTAAAATCAAAGGACAGAAGCGGGGAGGTTCAAAGATATATTTGATAGGCTATCAATATATCGAGGATCGTCTGCTCTAACCTGGCTAGCGATTGCAGGGGCTGTTGAGCACGGCGCTCCTCCTCGTGATCTGGTGCGGATGCATGACTGAGCGCCTTCAGCTAAGTGAGTCCATTAAAACTAATGTGGTCAGCATCCAATGTCGAAAACCTACAGAGCTATTTATTTTGGGGATTTATTTACCGCTACAACAGTATTGTTGCTAAACCAGTCGAAATTTCGATAATGTCTACTGCATCGTGATCAATAATACCTGATATTTTGTATGTGAAACGCTTTTCGGTGAAAAATATCATGGAAGAACAAATCAATAGCAATTGCACTTGTAATCTCTATTTTGATAATTGGATCTTTTGACTGACTGAATATCTGTCTTGTGGTAAGTCAGACTAGCGACATCCATTTTACTACAAAATGGGGATTCTTTTGGATGAAAGAACAATAAAAATGATGTAGATTGAACAAATTTATTCATTGTTCCCTAAACGAAGGAGAAAGCAGTTTTCTACAATTCTTCAGATGATTTTCTGACCTTTTAAACCGAAGTTGACATGAGTCAGATTCAACGGAAATGTGACAATTTGACCTCAGTAATTACACATTATAAACATAACATAGCAGAGACTGATTATCTTGGCAAAGACAGAAGGTGTTTATTGGGGCATTTGGAGTTTGCTATTATCTTCTCAACTGAGTTTATAATAATGAACACTTGACTACATTGTTGTATATAAAGAATATCATAAAACCTGAAATTTTTTCACATGTGTTACGTATTTCATTTTATCACACAGGCTAGTAATCCACATCTCGGTAGATTTAGAATAATACTATATCTAAAACTTGAAGCAAAACAAATGAACGTTTTGTTTAAATACACCATTAGCTCACCTCATTTTTGAACAAACTTTTAAACAACGTATTAATCGGTGCGCTGTTAGAAATTAAGTTACTTTTATTCATGAAAATGTACTCTAAAAAGGTAATCGATTATATAATCACCCAAATTTATTTAATTCTAACAGTCATTATTTTTTGATTCACTAAAATTTTAATGAACTTGTACTCAGTCTCTAAATGAATGTATTATAATTCAATACGAAATCAATAAAAATAATTTTAACCGACACGAAATCGGTTTAAACAGGAATTGCAGCTGATCACGCTTCGCCTATAGAGAACGCGATCTTTGTGGAAACGAATATCGACTGAAAGTACATATACATTTTGTCTCACGTTCTTAAAATGATGATTATTTTTTCTTTTTTTAATATCACTCTTGGTGACCACTGGCAAAAAGTTTTCTAATTTTGGAATACCGGTGGGCCAGAAGTGAGCGAGGTTCCAGATATATGTAATTGTTTTTAGAGGATATTTAGGGAGTGTATTTTCGAGATATAAATGTGGATAATTTTAACCCGAAACTCTTTATTACATTACATCTTCTTTTAAAATTTTGTTACGCCTGTAATAGTCAGATCATAATCGACTTTCCTTTTTGTCTTACAATCTGTGATGTATCTAAATCCTACTTCGTTTGGACTTAATACATTAAATCACTACATATTTTCATGTTTCATTACTTGAATCATAAAAGCCCTCGTCTGACACACTTTTCTTCTTTATTTCGTCAAGAATTTTATTTATGCCACAGTAATGATAGACGTAGAAACTGTTTCACTTCACTTGAATGTGAGATGAAACGTATTGTGAAATATTGCAAATGAATCCGTCTATCAGAAATCCCAGCAAAATAAGGCTTACCGATTTTTAAAGACTACACATTTAAACGATATGTTTTTAGGAAAGATACGCTATCTATTGGCGGTTTTTAATTGGGTATTACTTTGAGATGTGTCCCAGAATTTTACAACGTAAGTAAAGCCCAATTTTGCTATTATACAAGTAATATCCAGGAGAGTTTTAGAGTAAAATATTACTTACTATTGTTTATTTTTGGACTCAGATTCCTTCGTTCTCATTCTTACATAATCCGAGAGCTGTAGAATGTCTGGGCATTTTAAACTCTCGTTCTGGCCTATTTCATTCACTGTAACTGCTACAGCATATTTTTAAAATACGGTCGTATGGCAGCGTATGAAACAAATCGCAAATTTAATTAGGAGTTTGCGTGTATGATTTGTTTAAACCAAGGCAGTTTTGTTGTTTTCACGAATTATTACTTATGATCATACCAAGCACACCTATATGCATTTTAGAAGTCATGTTTTTGAAGGTTTATAGTCAAACAACACATATATTAGACTGAAAATCGTAGTAGAGAAATGTTTTGTGGCAATAGTCTCTGATTTTAAAGACTAAGATGTTTCTCAGTACTGCTTTAAGGCGATGTACCAATCTTTTGTCTTTCTCTATAAACACCGTATCTGCAACACTCTAAGTAGAGTTTAATAAGCATATACCTTATCCATGGTTTCTTCCGACTTTTCATCTAACTTTTATTTGAGACCGTATTAGATGACAGTTCATTAGTTTGTAGGGTAAAATGGGATTGTAGTATACTTATGTTTGTCCTCACAAAGTTTATAATCTTCAAAATAACAGTACAATTACACACTTGAAATTTATAATGTAAGTTATGGTTTTGTTAGCATTCATAAACTTAGACCAATGGATTTCCAAAGATGTTTTTCGTGATTGGGCGTAACTGATATTGATCATCACCATTCCATTTTTTAAGGGTAAGGAACTTTTCCATATTTTAACTTGTGCTTCTTTTGCAGCAGAATAAGTGCCACATTTGTAGTGCGGTATCAATATGCTTACTTCTTCTTTGTTTGATATGGGCAAGATTAATAGTTGTTTAAAAAACGTTTTATTGTTGCGTAGTAAAACAGTTATGTATGAAAGCATTTGACAAAACGTTTCACTGGATGCTGTTTGACCAAGTATCAAAAGGGTCTACAACAAAGCATGAAATCTTTTCAGTGATAGACACAAGTTGTAATCAACTGATTTCCTCAGTTCATGTACAATGTAATCAGGATTTGGTGGGTTAGTGAAAACTCGCTGCACTGATTGGGGAGAAAATTACCAACAATTGATTCACACTATTTACATTAAAACATGACTCAACACTCAATAGTGTTCTGTGATGATCGTCATTAAAATCAGAGGTGACATTCCCTTCGGCAGATGAATTTCCGGCACAGTTACTTGAAAAACACTATTCGCCTTTGTATTCTAACAGGTACTTCTTGTCAGAAATTACTCTTTTGTAATTACCAGATATCCAATAAGGATATCTACATTTAACAGTTTTTCTAATAAAGAGGTCATGATAACCCTTTTATTTAAATACAAAGTACCATCAGAAGTAATGAATATTGTTTAAATCTGGAAACACCCTCCGCAAAGCTGCATTTTTGAAGATCATTCTAACGTTTTCATATAAAACATGAAATATACTCAGATAATTGATAGACTTCTTATATTATTTTGTTGATGAGCGTAATCTTGAAACTGAATAATAATGTTCACCAAAGATTTAATAAAGCTTTCCGTCTTATAGTTTGCAATCGTAGAGTTCCACGCGTTTGGGTGCCAATAGTTATAAACCGTATTTACGTAATCGAGTAGAGTATATAACAGTATCTCTCTTGGGATCAAAAAACTAAAATATACCATAAATGGAGGCTTTCGTCCAACGATAACTATTTAATAAACTAAATGATAGCCATGAAATGGTGTAACTTATAGTACATGACTAAATTAACGTGTTTAATCTCACAAAAGAAATGGAAACCATCTTCCTTTAGATAATACAGATTTTATACCAATAGTAGTTTAACGGTATATTTAGCTTATTCATATAGCCTCAGTTTGACGTTTTTCTTTACCAAAATATCATTTCGTGCTCAAAATAAAAGACTAATTGGTAACATTTAAATTGGCAAACAAAATTTGAACAATATTAAAATGCTCGTTATTTAAAAGCGCCGTTAATGTTTCGCTAGCAACTGCCTGTGTTCCATAAGTTTCATTTTATTATAATAATTACATATCGTAGTCCCTCTTGTGATATTCTAGTGTTTATGTCAAACTGCACGTTTTGGTACAAATAAATAGTTAATAGATTGCAATGAAACTTCAGTAAAACTTAGTTTGTAAAATCATTTAGTGAAATATTCAGTCAGTATGTGGGAAATTCTCGGTAAGATCAAGGTTTATTCTCTTAAGAAAGAATCTCTGAAAATGTTTGTTCGGGTTCATTTATGAGGAGAAAGCAAATTAATAAAAAAAGAAAAACAGTAATTTTTTAAAGCCTTTTTAACCATATGAATCGAAATATATTATCCATTTTTATTAATTTTTTTGTTAATACTTTATATGAACAAATTTGTTTCTATTTTAATCTGTAACATGGTAGTATTAGTTGTATTTCATCAAACTTCCCCTTTTTTAACACTATTTAGCGTATTTGTTTAGTCGTATGTTATATATCTCTTTTTTCTGGCTCTTGTTTCTTTTTCTTTTGCTCAGTGTGAAATATGTTTTTGTATCATACAAACTGAACGCTATTGTCAATTATAAAATTGTTTTTCTCCTTTAAAAATGATTTATCGAATTATTTCGAGTTTCTCTATCCCTCATTTTGAACTAAAAAAAGTATTTTTCAGATTCTTCCCGCTCATAATATTTAAAACTTTGTCACTTTAGTAAATACGATGGAAAACATACGATTAATGCGCAACCTGATGGTTTGCTGTACACAGTACACTCAAGAAATATAAGTTAAGAATATTTCTTATTTTTTATGACCAATATTTTGGTTAGTTTACTTTGTATTCGTAAAAGAAGTCATGTCAACTTGTTCGCAAAGAAAAGAAACGAGATTGAGTAAACGAGTAGTTTAGGAACTTAGTGCAAATAACTACCATTATGTGCTAATGGTGCGAATCTAATAAATTATATGAGCGCGATTTATCTAGTTCATAAACTGCAAACTTTTACTTAATTACTTATGTTATAAACATTAAACTTGAATGTAATTACTTATCGATATTCTGACCAACTGAATAAGTTTTCTTTTGTTTTTATTAGGTGGATTTTAACAGATAAATTTCAGAAGGGGTTGTATGGATACTATAGTAACTTTAATAGTTGAGATCAGGAGTCATTTGAAGCTAGACTACCATAGAAAACCTCGAAGCACTTATAGGTCCTGAGTTCGAATCTCACTAGGCGGGATCATAGATGTGCACTGCTGGGGAAATTCACAGTAAGACGAAAAGGTCGTCCAGTGTTTCCAGGTTTTTCATATTGATCTAGCTTCAATGGATTCATGATCTCAGCTATTAAAAATACATTTCAAACAGCTTCAACATAAATTTCATCTCGAATTTATATAAATTAAAAAAGAAATACAAATCATTAGAAAATCATTTCGTTATTTTAAAGAGTGATAATTGTCTCCATCCTTGATTAAATTTTAGACTTAATTATTCTCCATTGCTCTTTTTTCATCCAGAACTAAAAACTATTAAATAATATACCATAAATTTGTCAGTAAAAACAACTGTTGATATGAGAAACAATTTAAATCTTTTGCTTTTTTCTTAGTATATACATTTGGCACATGAAAAGTTATTTATACTACTACCAATAATAATAATGAAATATAGAGGATTAAATGGATTGTTTTAATAGTTTAATCCGTATGCAAATAATTAGAGTTAATCAAATATAGAATAAAATTCCTGACATGTATTAATTTACTCCATAAATATTCAAATTTTGTATCCCAATCATTTCGTGACAAATTATGCGATAAAAATCATTCTACAAAAAATATAATTTATATAATAATATTGTGTTCTAATAGATAAATATTATTTATAACTATCAACGTTATTACTATTTACTATACATTCAGGTAATATAATTTATTAGTGAATAAACTCTGAACTTACCGCAATCTACGTTTTTAAATGATTTGTCTCAGATACTGTCAGATTTCGTAAGTAATTTGATGCAATGATAAAACAAGTTTCGGTAAGATATTAAAGAGGAAGAATGTATTTGTAAAATCTCAGCGTATGAATTTCCAAGTAAATTCAACGTTTCGTTTGGCAGTCTGGTCCAAGCTTTTTCAAGGAAATATCTGCAGAATAATAAATAAAAACTCGTTTAAATTTGATCGAATAGTTTCACAGTATTTGGGCGCCGAGTTAATGTGAGACATTAAATAGGAAGAAAATGCATTTATAAAATCTCAGCGAATGAATTTTGAAGTGAATCCAACGTTTCGTTTGGCAATCTGTTCCAAGCTTTTCCTTGAAAAAGTTCAACTAAAGTTTCAATATCTTAAGTTAGATTTAAGGAATAATTGAAAATGTTTTAATCCTTATCATCAGAATTCATTGTGTTTTTCATCTATATTCTTGAACGATATATCATTTTCTTTTAAATTCAGTTATTTACTTTGAAAATGATGTACATTATCATATGTTACTTAGTCTGTTGTTTCTGATATCGATTCCTAAAATACACACGTTTAAACATTTCTGTATTGAAATTTTAGTTTTTACTTTAACTAATGGTAAAAGTGGTAAAAATATTTTTATAAACAACAAAAATATGAAATCGTTTATCCTTATAATTTATATATTGTTAATAAGCTTTGATCTGATGATAATATTTATTTTATAGATTTATCTAACGCATATGTTTACTTAATCAGTATTCTACTGTTCAAAGTTGGAGTAGTGAATATACACAAATATGGATGGTCAGTGCATAGGCAAAGGATTACGTATGATACAAGTGCATGTTCTTCATTTGGATGACACTATTCATACTTTTCAAATTTCGGTAAGTAGATATACAAAATGATTTTCTTGTTTTTATGTGTGAAAAAAATAGTTTTTTTATTATCAGTTATACTTAATTAACCAAAGAAAGGGTTTTACGTTTATGAATACATTGGGAAAAATTGTTAATAACCTCATTCCTAATCTTGTATTACATATTGTTTAAACTAGTTTATCATAATTACCTTCAATTAAGTTGGAATTGAATGAAAAATGACTTATTTTTGTCAGCTAAGTAATGAGATTTTTATTTCTATGTTGGATAAATTGATATATTAAATAAAAACCTTTGAACAGTTAAATGTATTTTGAAATTGTTTGATGAATCATTTGATCTTTTACGACTTTACAAACATATAGATAGAAGAAACTAAAATTCTATATCATAATAAATTACATTCAAACTTAAAAACAGGAAAATATTATTTTGTTAGTTTGAGACCTATTCCACTAAAGAACTTTAGTATTGACTTCTATATATTTAAGCGACTATCAAAAATTTAAAAGCATTTAACACAATATAGCCAATGAAATATTATTAAGATATGCCGTAGATTTGAGTCAAATTAATATTTAAAACAAGTAAAAAATAACATTATTTAAAATAACTAGCCATTGTAATATCCGGTAAAGAGTATCATATTATGAAATAGAAAGAACTATATATGAATTTATACCGTTTGGAAAATATTGCCAAAGAATAATTATGTTTTTATATTTAATTTCATAGTTATAATTTATAGCTATTTTTTAAAATATTATTTATACCAGAAGGATGATTATTAAAATTTTCTAAATTTCTTTATTGCTACTTAGTGTGTTATCAGTTTGTCTAAACGATCTACCGTTGTAAAGAATGAGCGATAATGAAAGAACATTCGTTCATGCATTATTGGAGTTAATATTATATCATAAATAAAATTAAATATTGCTAAGTGAATTGAAGCAAAGATTCTATAATTCGTTCTTTGCATACTGTGATAATATGTTCGTTAAATAAACAACTGTGTTGTGAACGGTAACTCAGGTGGGGGACAACCGATTATATCTTGGTAAAATATAAGAACCATACTTCATTTGAGAACTTCCATCATTTTTCCTTCAAATTCTGCATGATCCTTCCAAATCACAATTCCTTTCTATTTCTGTTTATGTTTTCTTCAAGTCGACCATTATAACCCTCTTCTGTCATGCATTCCTCTTCTGTCAACATAAGTAGCAACACCACAAATTATACACTGTTTTCTGGAATAAATAAATAGTTGTGTTATAAATAATGTAATTGATTTTATCTGGTTGAGCTAGTAACCATATTAAATATTATTTTTTCATTATTTCTTGAAAGTTAGAGTTTAGTGTTATTTTATTGTAAGGTTAATATACAGGATATAACCATATGTAGTAAATTGCTATATTTGTGAAATTTGCTTCAACATAATATGCCTTTTAGAATATTTAGATGCTAATATATTGTGAAATGTGTGCTGGTTTCATGTTAAGAAACGTTGCATATATTAAAGAGTCACTACAATGGATACGTCACTGAGCACTCAAGTTAAAGGTTATTTATCTCTAAAAAGCTTGTTACATAGCAAATAAACACCTTATATGTGTAATTTACTAACATGTTTTTGGGATGAATAAAATGTGTAGAGTATTTTCCTTTTTAAAGAATGTCTTGACATATTGCATATTTTCTTATACTGTCCATCTAAAAATCTTGGTTGTTGATGTAAAGGGACGGAAATAAACAATAGAAAAATCCTTTCTGTGAAAAATTATCTTTTTATATTCGTCTATTTGATTATCAAAGCAATTTAAAACATCCAGCTTGTTAAGGCTTTATATTTTTTCATGAGAAATTTTCAAACGAATGACAACTGATCTATTTCAACTTCCGGCGATAATCGGTCAATGTGTGTTCGAAAAATCATTAAACCACAACTAAATATATATACCACTTTAAATATTTAAAAATTTAACAAAGTGGCTTTTATAAAAGATGAACGGACTCATGAAAAATAATGTAATAAATGTCCACCACGATAACAAACATTCGAGTCATAATGTTTCACTTAATTACATCAAGCATAAGCCGTTCATTAAAGAGTGAACATAATAGTTCAATTAGTTTGATAGAACTAAGTTTATTCGGCAGCTTTTATCAACTTATTTACAAACAACAAGCATTACCACCTCAGACAGTGGCGATAATGTACTTATAAGAGTGATTATATTGAAATGAGCACAATGCTCGCAGAATTGTATTACGAAGCAGATGAAGCTCTGTCAAATAATGATTCTTTCCATCTTCGATGTATTTTACAATCTCTGTTTTCCGATTCTAAGCACCATGCAAAGAGGAATATATTCCAAGTATTCAAAACAACACTTTTTATTACATCATTTTATCATATTTTAACTGAAAACGTTTCATCTTGTCATACAGCCATTATTTGTCTACTCAACTGATAGTAAAATTACTCTAATTCTTGTGATTTTTATCATCGCTTTGTATATTCTCATAAATTCTTTTTAGCATTTTTTTATTTCCTTTCATGATTAAAAAAACACGATTTTCTTCTCACGGTTGTTCAATAAATTATAACAACCGTAACAATAATTATCAGATAATATGGATAGCAATTTTCGTCCTGAATTGTTAAATTATTATAAAATAATCGAGCACAAAACTATTTATTGATTCTTTATAAATGGTTATTACTTTTAAGCAAGATAATTTTTTATGGGATGGGGTAGCTCAACCTTCCCTCTTTACCCGAACTTAAGATAGACAGTAAACCTAGAAGAGCTACAGGCGGAGTAGATGCTTTCAGGTACCTGGACAGCATAATCGATAAACATGAAGGATCTGACCCAGAAATTAAGACAAAGATCGAAAAAGTAAGGGCGGAATTCACACATTTGAACAACACATACAACTCAAACACAACGGTCAACCAATATCAAAATCACAATCTTCAATATGAGCGCCAAGATAATTCTACTATACGCAGCTGAAACTTTGAGAACTATCACAACCATCATTGAAAATGTAAAAGTATTTCTAAACAATTGTCTACATGAGATACTCAATGTTCATTGGTCGGACGCCACCAACAACAGTCAACTGTGGAAGAGAACAAAATAGTTTCGAAGTGAAGAGGAAATTATGGAGAGATGTTGGAAGTGGATGGGACATACATTACAGAATTCATCAAACTGCATCACAAAGCAAGTGGTAACTTGGAATCGTGAAAGTGAATGAAATAGAGGAAGGTCAAATAACACATTTCATCGAGAATCGGAAGCAACATGAAAAGAATAATGAGTAGTAACTGGAAACAACTGGATAGGGTAAGTCAGGACAGAGGTGGTTGGCGAATGGTGATGGGTGGCCTATGCTCCTCCACTGGAGGTATTAAGCGTAAGAAAGTGAGTAAGTATAAATGGTCTTTGATCACAGTAATCTTAATGTAATAGTACACGAAACTTAATAGAGCATATTACCACTCAAAAATGTTCTAGATATCCCACAAAAATAATAACAGTAAACGACTTACTTTGTGATTTATCAAAATAAACGATGTTTTCGTTGAAATCTGTTTGTTAAGCGTTGACTGAATAGCACGAATATAAATTTCTATGAATTAGCTGTCTAAACATTTTGAAGTATTCACTTGCTCACTACTTTTAATATACCACCTAGTATTCGACGCAGTTATTGTGAATTTATTCATCTGTTACTTATACTTAAATAAATATCTAAATAAAACTGTCAATGTGAAAACCATATCTCTAGTGACCCCGTCTTTAAAGCTCCATAAATTTATTCAAACGAAACACTCATCAACGTTAAAATACACGGCGGAACGAATTTATAGTTGAGTTCACTCAGCTACCTATAATACTAAGCGATTTATTTATTATCTAAATTATTCTATACAAATACGATTGCGAAGTTTTTAAAAAACGACATTGTCTCAAAGAGAACTTTTATTCACTGGTGTCGTCATTTTATTTAGTTTTGATTGCTAATAAAATGTTTCCTTACATAAATGTGCAGTACATTTGTTTTAAAACTAGTTCACTAATTTAGCTTACAAACTACAATAAATAGACTAGTAATTACTGCGTAATAAAATGTTTCCACATATTTCGTTGCTTTTTATTCTAGAAATTACTTGTATTCACTGAAGATTTTCGAACGATAATCTCCGGTTTAAGAGGTGTTTTATTATATTCTTGAGGTAAATTTTTAAAGTTACCGAAAACAATTACTTTTAAGGATAAACTGTAACTCTTTAAGCTCTGTAACGTCAATTATTAATCTTTGACAGACAGCCTTGTTATTCCCATTTAAACTCAACTTTAGATAATACAGACAAGAGAAATGAAGCAAGCTACTGAAGTTCTTAGTTGCAATGAAAAACAATCTCAAAATGTTTTATTTTTTGAGTGCATACAAAATTATTAAATAGAAACTAAATGTTGCGTGACTATGCAGACAAATATGCAACAATGTTTTATGTATCTAGTTTCTCCCAAACAGCAAGAAGTATAAAAATGAAGATGAATTTTTGTCGAAACTAACAAGAATGATTTTTTAAAGTCGAATAAATAAATAATTAGTCACCATAATATTCAAGTTGTTTCGAAGCATATAACTCGTTCACAAGTATATCAAATATCTGAAATAAGTTTCCGCATCTTAGAAACTGGTCATTGGAGTTCTGTGATGACAAAATTTGTTTATAATGTTTTTGATAAACAGTAAAATGAAGAATAAAAGATTTCATTGATTGTCAGAAAATGTCAACCTAAACATTACGAAATAGCGTTTAAAGAATTTAATGTTAGTTTTAAGTTGAATATGTTTTGTAAAAATTCTCCACTTTACGTATCAGTTGCATCATTAATAAGCCGCAAACTTCATTAGCTCTGCCTGGAGCAGCATGGTCATTTCAAAACTGAGATTTCGTAATTATTGGTCAAGATTGT